GGCCCCGAGCTGTCGACCCCTATCGTGGGGTTCCCTTTGCTCCTCCTGCTCCTCCTGCTGCTGCTGCTGCTGTTCCTCCTGTTTCTCATGCGTGTATTCCCTCGGCTGACGCCGCACCGCGCGCCCCCAAGCCGCGTGGTGCTCACGGGCGCCGAGGTGCGCGCAGTCGCCATGACGTGCACAGTCGTTATGGCGTACACAAGTGCTGCGCGCCCACAATATCCGAGCGTTCCTTGGGCCAGAAAAACAAATAATCGAGCCCCCAGCGATTGTCCGAAGATTGGCTCCGTCGGTACCTTCAGGTGTACACAAGATTTGGTGGTGTACGCATGCACCGTGGTGCACAGGGGCTGCTGGAACAGCAGCTGTGGTACACACGGGCGCCGTGGTGTGCACAAACAGCGTGATGTACAAAAGCGCTGCGGTGCACTCGGTTGTTATGGTGTACACAGTCGCCGCGGCGCACGCACATACCATATCTGCAGCAGTGTTGGTGCACAAAGGCATTCTGGTGTACAGAGCCCGTGTTGTGTGCACAGTTAGTGTGGGCTTGGACGACGACGACGACGACGACGACGACGACAGGCGGCGCGCCCCGGGGGGTGCGCGCCGCGGCCCCCGTTCCCGTGACACCCCCCACCCACAGCCCCCAAAGGGTAACATGTGAGATCCCCAAGAACAAATCATGATCGACCCACGAACCCGGAAAGGAATATAGAACTGTGAGGCATGGCAACGTTTCCAAGACATTTGGTTGACAGGCGGGTAATTGCAATGTTGGGTGTGTCGGTATGGATGTACCGTGCCAAGGATTGTGTTGTGTTGCGCCGTGCTGAATTGCGATGCACCATGCCGCGATTGCGCTCTACAGCGTTGTGGATCGAGTCTTCGTTTGCATCCGAGGCCTGACCGAACTGATCTGAAACGTAAGTTCGAGCTGCCTGAGCACATGGTAGCCGCCCCAGAGCCAGTTGAAGTGGAAACGTGGAGGACGTTCAATCAACTCGACCTCGAAATCCGACTCAGCTCCGAGAAGGAACGACACGACACGGGGCACAGGTTCACGGACGCGCCACAGGATGTGCCAGGGGTGCACCAGGCGGATGCGCCAGGCGACGTGTCAGGGGACGCATCAGGTGACGTGCCCTGGACGTGTCAGGGACCTGCCACGGGACGTGCCAAAGCGCGTGCCATGGGGCGGCCAGAGGACGTCATGCCAAGGGACGTCGCAAGGAGCGCGCCACGGGACGGGCTGGGGAAACGCCCGAGGACGAGCCAGGAGACGCGACAGAGGACGAGCCAGGGAACGTGCCACGCCGAGGGGCGTGCAAGGGGACGAGCAAGGAGACGCGACAGAGGACGAGCCAGGGAACGTGCCACGCCGAGGGGCGTGCTAGGGGGATGTGCCAGGGCACGTCACGCCAGAACGTCGCAAGGGACGCGCCAGGCGGCGCGCCAGGGCGCCAGGGGACGCCCCACGGACGGGCGGGGTTGGACTGCGTCGCACTCTACTACGACAAGCGTTTCGCTCGAGACATCCTCAGCACATCCTCATGTTAGACGTACGCCTTGGCGACCTGGGCAAGTGAAGCCAAGCGTCTCACTCGAGACGTTCTGAACACCTCCTCATGCTAGACATCTGCCTGAGCGACCTGGACACGTAAAACCAAACGTCGCGTTCGAGACGTTCTCAACACCTACTCATGCTAGACATCTGCTTGGGCAACCTGGACGCCTGAAAACAAAAGTTTCGCTCGAGACATCCTCAACACATCCTCGGGTTAGACATCCGCTTAGGAGACCTGGATACGTGAAAACAAGCGTTTCGCTCAACACGTTCTCAGCACATCATAATGCTAGAAATCCGCCTGGGCGACCTGGGAAAGTGGAAACAAGCGGTTTCTCCGAGACATCCACAACACATCTTCATGTAGACATCCGCTTGGGCAACCTGGACACGTGAAAGCAAGCGTCTCGCTCGAGACATCCTCGACAAATCCTCATGTTAGACATCCGCCTGGGGCCTGAGCGACCTGGGAAAGTGAAATCAAGCGTGTCGTTCAAGACGTTCGCAACACATCCTCATGCCAGACATCTGCCTGGGCGACCTGGACACGTGAAACCAAGCGTCTCGCTCGAGACATCCTCAAGACTTGGCCACGTGAAAAGAAGCATTTGACCTGAGACAGCCTGTGAGTTCTTGTTCCCAGGAGGGGACAATCTATAACACAAAACAAGCGTTTCTCTCGAGACATTCTCAACAGGTTTTGCAAAACAAACGATTCGCTCGAGACATCCGCAACAAACGAAAAGTTGTACTTTACCATGTTTTTGTCGATCGGAATGTCAAACACCAGCGTTTCGTTAGGGACTTAATTCGCTGGCCCTACGCGACCTTGTTATCGATCACAGAATAATTCCGCCGGCACACCTCAAGTCGAGGCCGGGGGTTGACAAAACCAAAAGCCAAACCTGGGCTTCAGCCCCTTTCGGGAAACAATGTCTCTATTGCAGTACGTGTGTTGCACAACAGAGACTGCACCACATAGGATGCACAGCATCTATTGCACAACTTGGATTGCACCGCCTATGTTGCGCCACATAAATACACCACATCTATTGCATCGCTCCACATACACTGCATCACAACAGTTGCACAACACATATTGCACCAAAGCGGTATAACTACGTATGTTGCAAGCTGTATGTTGCACCATATAAATTTCACGACATACATTGAACCACATGTATTGTTGTACCAAACATTTTGCTCCAGTTGGGTTGCACAACATAGATCTCACCATCTAAATAGCACCACCTACATGGCTAGAATCACACTGTTAGGGGTCTTCGCTGGCTAACCGAACATGATCTACCCACGAACCCGGAAAGGGATATAGAAGTGTGAGGCATGGCAACGTTTTCAAGACATTTGATTGGACGACGGGCAATTCCAATGCTGACTGTATCGATCTTGGTATACCTTGCCCAGGGCTGTGCTGTGCTGTGCCGTGCTGAACTGCGATGTGCCATGCCGTGATTGTGCTCTTTAGCGTTGTGGATCGAGTCCTCCTTGGCATTCGAGTCCAGACCGAACTGATCTTGATCTTCAGCTTGAGCTGCCCGAGCACATAGCAGCCGCCCCAGAGCCAGTTGAAGTGGAAACGTGGAGGACTTTCACTCAACTCGACCTCAAAATCCGACTCAGCTCCGAAAAGGAACGACACGACACGGGGCACAGGCTCACGGACGCGCCACAGGATGTGCCAGGGGCGCAATAGGAGATGCGCCAGGCGACGTGTCAGGGGACGCATCAGGTGACGTGCCCTGGACGTGTCAGGGACCTGCCACGGGACGTGCCAAAGCGCGTGCCATGGGGCGGCCAGAGAACGTCATGCCAAGGGACGTCGCAAGGAGCGCGCCACGGGACGGGCTGGGGAAACGCCCGAGGACGAGCCAGGAGACGCGACAGAGGACGAGCCAGGGAACGTGCCACGCCGAGGGGCGTGCTAGGGGACGAGCAAGGAGACGCGACAGAGGACGAGCCAGGGAACGTGCCACGCCGAGGGGCGTGCTAGGGGGATGTGCCAGGGCACGTCACGCCAGAACGTCGCAAGGGACGCGCCAGGCGGCGCGCCAGGGCGCCAGGGGACGCCCCACGGACGGGCGGGGTTGGACTGCGTCGCACTCTACTACGACAAGCGTTTCGCTCGAGACATCCTCAGCACATCCTCATGTTAGACGTACGCCTTGGCGACCTGGGCAAGTGAAGCCAAGCGTCTCACTCGAGACGTTCTCAACATTTCCTCATGCTAGACATCCGCCTGGACGACTTCGACACGCGAAAACCAGCGGTTCGCTCGAGACATCCTCCGAACATCATCATGCTAGAAATCCGCCTGGGCGACCTGGGAAAGTGGAAACAAGCGGTTCGCTCAACACATCCTCAACACATCCTCATGCTAAGCATCCGCCTGGGCGGCCTGGACACGCGAAAGCAAGCGTCTCGCTCGAGGCGTACTAGACACATCTTCATGTTAGACATCCGCCTATGCGACCTGGACGTGTGAAAACAAGCGCTTCGCTCGAGACCTTCTCCACGCATCCTTATGCTAGACATCTGCCTGGGCGACCTGGACACGTGAAAGCAAGCGTCTTTCTCGAGACATCCTCAACAAATCCTTATGTTGGACGTCCGCCTTGGCGACCTGGACACGTGAAAATAAGCGTTTCGCTTAGCACATCTTCATGCTAGGCATCCGCCTGGGCGGTCTGGACACGCGAAAACAAGCGCCTCGCTCGAGACATCCTCAGCAACTCCTTATGCTAGACATCTACCTGGACGACCTGGACGCGTGAAAACAAGCGTCTCGCTCGAGACATCCTCAGCGAATCCTGATGCTAGACATCTGCCTGGGCAACCTGGAGGCGTGAGACCAAGCGTCTCGCTCGAGGCATCCTCAAGACCTGGGCACGTGAAAACAAGCATGTCACCTGAGACATCCTGTGAATTGGTCCCCAGGAGAGAAACGATTTATAACACAAAACAAACGTTTCGCTCGAGACGCCCCCAACAAGTTATGCAAAAAAAGCGCTTCGCTCGAGACAGCCACAATAAACGAGCATGTCAATGTTACGTTGTGTTTTATCATCGCAATTTCTCAAAGACCAGCGAATCGCTCGGGGCATCCTCAAAGTTTCATCCGCCGGCCCTCTTCGAACTTGTGATTCACCAGGGAACAAATCCGCCGGCCCTCTGCGAAATTGGCACCAGGGTCAGTTTACCAACTCAAAGAAAACCCTTGGGCCCCAGCCCTTTCCGGGAAAAAGTAGTTGGATCTGTATACCGATATACATATATGCAGAGCTGTTCGCATTTATACACCATTCTGCAATAGAGATACCTTCGTGAAGCTATGACGTGGCTCTCTGTGGACGTTTGATTGTATCCCGATTTCTCCCCCCTGTTCTCTTGATAGTCGCCATCCATCCACCCGAAGGGAGACCTGCAATACTGCACCGACCAGATCCAGAAGTTCAAGGTCATCTACGGCGGGGGCCAGTGAGAGCGGCTACAGCCAGACCCCTCACGTCCCGCCTCCCCACGCCACCTCCTGCTCTCCTCCCCGCGCCCCTCCTCAGCCTCGTGCTCCCTGTCCTCTCCTTCCTCCTGCTGCTCCTCCTCCTTCTGCGGCTCGTGTGCTCGATCACGGCGCCCCCTTCTGAGACGACGCCGCCCAGCCTTCGCGCAGAAGGCCGCCGGGGACCGCCGAGGTCCGCGGGAGACCGCCCGGAGACTGCCGGAGACTGCCGCACATTCCCGAAAGGCCACCCCGTCGAAGACCCCCGGAGACCGCTCGGGGGTGGACAGACCTCCTACCCTGACACGTCGATTAGCGAATTGGCCGTTTTCGGTTCGCGAGAGGGCGTTGCGGCCGTCATTTTTGCGGGTCCAGGTCCGTCGGCTTCGGTTCCAGGCCGTTTTCACTAAAGGGAGGTTTCCTAAAGGGAGGTTTGTCCACCGCCGAACCGCCGAGGCCCAGGGCCGAAGAATAGAATTCAATGTTGCTCCTCCTCTCCTCCTGCTCCCCCTCGCCTCGGCCCGCGCGCTGGGGACTCCAGCGCCACTGACATAGCGAGCGGCGCCGCCAGACGTTTGACGTGACGCCCGGCTTATGCCGAGAATGGGGGGGGGGGGGAGGGGGCGAACTGCGGGATGGTGGGAAGGGAGGCAGGGGAGGAGGAGGAGGCGGGAGGGGTGAGAAGGACGATGAGGAAGACGAGGATGAGGGAGGAGGCACGAGGAGGAGGAGGAGGAGGAGGAGGAGGAGGAGGAGGAGGAGGCCAGGCTGGGCAGGCGTCCCGACTCCGGGCCGCGTTATGATGGCAGAAGTAAGGGAGGAGGAGGGCGACGAGGACGAGGAGGAGGAGGGGTGAAGGCTCATCCATCGGCTCGGTTCGGCTTTGCCCGGCACAGTGCAGACCAGTCGAGCTGAGCATGTCTCTTCCAGCTAAGCGGAGACCAAACCTTATTCCGGCTCAGCCAGGGTTTGTTCAGCCCAGGTCAGGCCAGACAGGCCACATCCTAGCCAGTCCAAGGCATTCTCAGCGCCTCCCAGCGGTCGAAGGGATCTAACAAAACAGATGTGGATATGTTTGCCCTGTAATTCTTCCCGCTTCGCGGGGTGCACGTCCTGAGCACGTCAAGGCTGGGTGTTGGGTGGTTTGCCCTGCTCGTCTGGCGCGCTTGTCTGCCAGGTCGTTCTGCCCGTTCCGGGGCGCTGTCAGCGCCTGGACGAGCGTACGAATGTCCGCGAGGATAATGAACATTCACCGCGTGTCAGCACAAGGCAACGCCAAGTTCAAATTCCGATTAGCATAGCGTCGCGCCATCAGTGTACAAGTACGCGGGCCTCTTGACAGTTCCTTGGGGCCGTTTGGGGGCCTTTGGGGGGCCTCTTGGAGGATTCTTGGGGGCCGCTGGGGGCCTCTTGTGGGCCTCGTTGGGGCCCTCTTGGGGCCCTCTTGGGCCGTCTTGGGGCAGTCTTGGGGGCCGTCTTGGGGGCCGTCTTGGGGCCGTCTTGGGGCCATCTTGGAGGCTGCTTGGGCCGGTACGGGCTTTCGAATGCCGGAAAAGGCGAGAACAGCACAATCGCTCAAAAGCACTAGAAACATTGTTCTTTGTTGCCTAGAGTGGTCTTCTTGGGGGTCCTCCAGGAGCCATTTTGGGCCGCCTAGGGACTCTTGGGCCCTCTTGGGGCCATCTTGGGCCCTCTTTGGGCCGTCTTGGCGCATCTCGAGACCATATTGAGCCATTCTTGAGCCGTCTTGAGGCCCTCGTACTCCCCACAGACCAACGCGGACCAAGTTGCAGATGTTCGATTGGTTTTTGAAAGTTTTTGAAGCCCAGGGGTTCACCACGTTTGGTTGACGGAAGTTGTGTGGCTCCGGGGAGGGAGAGGGGGCACATGACAATATGAAATAATACAACATGCATGAAAGTCTCACTCATTGGATACATCGGCTACGTTGCATGATTGCCTTCGCGGGAACTTCTGCCCTATCTCGAGGTCATCTTGGGTATATACGGAGACATCTTGAACGCATGTGAAGGCCGTCTGTGGACATTTTGGGACGGTTTGGACCGTTTTGGGAAACCTCAGAGGCCGCTCTGGAGCCCTACACGACGCCCTGGGAATCGCACGGGGGGGTCCGAACTGCCCCCTGGTGAGTTCGGCCGGAGGTTGGGCTGGGCCCGGGGGGCTTCCAATTTCCGGTCCGGGGTCCGTGGAAGGGGACGTATAGGGAGATGACAATTTCACACGCCCGAAAACACGGGGTCTGCCCGTGAACGCATTGGCAGTCAGAATATGGTGGGGGCGTTCGTTAAGGAATGTGCCCAGGGGGCTTCAGAATCTGAGGGGGGGTCCTCATCTGATGAGGGCGGCGGTGATATCCACGGCCAATCCCCGATCGAAGTTCCACTGGCTTCGAGACCTTGGATTCCTTATTTAAGGGTTCCTTATCCAATGTCCCCACCGTCCGTAGCGATTTTGGCTCAAGGCCATGGACCGCCCGACGACCGCGACTCGTCCGCGGCGCTCAAAGCGCGAGTGGCTCCTCGCTTTTGGCCAGGGCGACGCAGTTTTGAGCCAGAGCCTGGGTGAGAAGCGGGCGTCCTCGGCGGGATGGTGCTTCCCAAGATGGGCGATGCTTCCCCTGGCGCTGGCACTCGCGGCGATGGTGGCGGCGGCGGCGGCAGGAGCGGAGCATGCTGGGTCTGCTCGTGCGGTCAGTGGTCCTACTCGACCAGAGTGTCGTTCTTCGACTGCCACGCCGCGGCCAAGCCTTGGGCGCGGGTGCGGGGATCGGCGGTCGACGACCAACCCTCGCCCGACGCCGAGGGCTTCGTCAAGGCGGGCAAGGGCAAGCGAGGGCGCCGCAAGGCCCGAGCCGCAGGCAAGGCCTCGGACGTGGGCAGCAGAGGAGGCGGCAGCAACCAGAGCAGCTAAAGCGGAGGCAGCCAGGCGAAGGGTTCCCGATTGGCCGTGCTTGAGCGTGCAATCGCGCACTTGGAGGCCTGCCCCAGCCTCGGTGGCGAGGACGACGCTTTTGTGGCTGAGCGGCTGGCCGCCCTTCGGGCCAAGAAGGAGCAGGCTGTTGCCGACCAGGCGCGCGACATGGAGGTTGGCCTGTCCCCTGCGGCGCGCCTGCGCAGGGCAGCCAATTCGACCGGCAAGGCGGAGCGCAGGGTGGCTGCAGCCCGCAAAGCGCTCGAGGCGGCAGACTCCGCAGTGGCAACAGCTGAGGCGGCGATGCAGGCAGCAGCAGATCAGCTGGAGGACGCCGAGGGAGCGATTCACCGAGGCGCGAGAGAGGCTGGCGGAGCTGGAGGAGCAGGCGGCAGCAGCGAAGACCACGCAGGAGCGCTTGCAGGTCTCGAAGGAAGACTTACAGGCTGTGCGTGGGCTGTTCCTGCAGTTACGGACGCTTCCGATGGCGCGCCAGGCGGGCAACTTCGCTGGCGCGTGGGGGTCGACCATGCAGCAGATGCAGGCAGTTGAAGGGCGCCTTGCCGATCGCGAGAGCAGACCTGCCACCTTTGCCCGCGAGCGATGGAGCGACGCCTGCCCGATCGACGGCGGCGAGGTCGACTCCGACTCGGACTTGGACTTGGCGGGCGGGGTGGCGCCAGCCTCTGAGCGCGGGCAGGCGGAGCGCCTCTCGCCAGCGGCGGGGCCTTGGCTTCGGGTGCCGAGGAGTGCTGTGCGCGAGCTGGCGGCAGAGGCATGCGACCTGGGTCCTTCGGCGACGGCGCTTACTGGCCACGCGGCGGCGGCCGCGGAAGCGAAGCTGCAGCTCTGGCCCCAGCAGCAAGAGACAGGCAGATAGAGCGGTCCAGCTCAAGTTGGCCAATGCCCTCCCCAGAGTTGCGTCGGCAGCCAGCGCGATCACGATCAACGGCTCTACCTGGGCAGAAGCCAGAACGGCGATCGAGCAGATCCGCGACGAGGGCGCCCAGGATGATGTCTTCTTGGCGCAGGAGATTTGTTTCGCAGGTGCGCCTGCTACTTCCTTAGCGCGGAGCCGGCGTGCGAGGCGCGGCCTCCAGTCGGCGCTCGGCCCCTGCAGGCGCACAGGCCAGCTGGCGCAGGAGGTCTCTTCGGGAGTTGGGATCCTGACGGCAAGCTTCAGGGAAGTGGCGCAGATCGAGCAGGGCTGGGGCGACCTCTCGCATCGGGTGATCGCGCGCCGGGTCGCCTTCGGAGACTTGGTGATCGCGATCGCGGCGGTCAGCGTGCCTGGGGCACTCCGCGAAGCTGGCGGGCGTCAATCTCGAGCTGCTCGGCAAGGCCCAGGAGCTCCTGATCGCCGTCAACGAGCCTTTCATCGTTGCGGGCGATTGGAATATGGAGCCGCAGGAGCTGTCGGCGCCATGGCGGCCACGTGCGATCGGGGGTGCCGTGCTGGAGCCACCGCAGCCGATCTGCAATGGGAGGAAGTGCGACTACTTCGCCGTCTCGGCCTCGCTGGCGGCGCTCGGACCTCAGGTCGAGGCTCTTCGGCCGACGACGACGCGCCCGCGCGTGCCAGCGCGCCTCTCCTCCGCGAAGGTGGGCGCCCTGGTCCAGGTCCGGGTGCTGAAGTCGCCGCGGAGGTTCGACGCGGCGCAGAAGGTGGCGGTCGAGGCGAAGGCTCGAGCGGACGCCCTAGCCCAAGAGGTGCAGTGGCAGGCTCCTCTGCTGGATGCCCCCGCGAACCGGTGTGTGAGTTCTACGACGTGGCGGAGGAGCACCTGATTGGGCTGTTCGAGATTCAGGATGGCGGCGCCTACTATGGCAGGTCACGCGGCGTCCGCAGGGCTCAGAAGTGCCTGGGGGATCTTCAGCGCACAGAGACGGCCAGGGAGGTCAGCCCGCTGACGAGGCTCTGGATGTCCCTGGGACGGCTCACGAGGCAGCTGACGGCGGCCGAGGCGGCACTGGTTCCGCCGCCTGGGCATCGGGCCTACATGGGGCACCTGAAGGAAGCTGCCCTCGCCTTGGTGCCGAACTTCATTCAGCAG